TATATATATATATATATATATATACATATGTGTGTGTGTGTGTGTGTCTGTGTGTGTGTGTGTGTGTTGGTTGAAAAAAAGTTATTAAACATGCCTAACCACTAATTTTTGTCAATGTCTCAAATATTTTTGTATATGTAAAGCTTATATTGCTGTTTTATGAGTTTACTTCATTTAAAGTGTAACAACTGTGAAACACGATTACTGCTAGTACCATAGAAAGCGATATGAACGTGGACTCCAGATATTTTAAGAACTATGCAAGGAGCAGTATTTAAGTGAATACACAAAAAGGGCTTTTATATGAGAATAAAACTTCCATATACTCAACATTCTAATTAAAAAAATAGTACCCATCCATATTTATAGTTTAAGTAAAGATAGAGACTTATAAAAAACTTGCACAAATGAGGCTTTCAAAAATACTTGTACATGTCCTCTATCTATTTAGTTTAGCTGTTTCACAAAAAAAAAAAAGATTAATCTATACTTCATACATGTGCACATACAACCCCCCCCTCCCACACACACACACACACAATCACACATAACATACATACATAAAAAAGGGAGCTAAAATGCACGCTTAATAATCAAGCAGGGAAGAAATAGCGATAAATCAAAAACTATGAAGAAAAAAATATAGTTTTCATCAAACGTTAAACTGATTTCTTAAATAAAGGCTTGCAATGATTATTAAACAATCAAACAAACAAAAAAAGACTTGTTTGAAGGAGAAAACATGTCTGTGGTACTTGTGAAACAGAGTCATTCTGTTTTAAAAGTAGGAGTAGAAAATACACTTTAGAATTTCTAGTACAGTGTTTTTTTACAGGAGGCTGTGGAAGAGTGGGTAGAGACAGTCAATGTAAGAGTCGGGGATTCAAATCCACCAGTAGGCACATGCCGAAGTGTCCATGGGCAAGACACTGAACCCCTCTTTGCCTCCCATGTGTGTCCCATTGGTGTGTGAATGTGGTAAAGCACTGATTAGTATCTTTAGAATGAATTGTTCAGTTAGCTTTAACGATATATAGTAGAGTGCTGTTTGAATGGGTAAATGAGGGTCCAGATTGTGTTGTTAAGCACTTTGAGTGTCTTGACAAGATATAAATATGTTATATAATATGATCTTCTACAATTTTATATTATAAGCTATCATCCACCAGCACAAAAGAAAAAAATAAATAAATAAAAAAAGAGGAGAAATAATCTTACCTTGTCAGTGTTAGGTAAAGTCTGAGTTCTGGTAAAAGTGTCTCCTCCGTTAATACTGATGAGTTCAGCATCTACAGGTGGAAATGCTGCGGGGAA